ACGGAGTAGTTAGAGTGAATTGGGTAGTTTTTAAGATTACAGTTTGATTTCCCCCATTGTTATTAAGGAAGTTGTCAAAGGTTTTTGTACAAGAAACTTAGTAGTAGAATGGTCTTCCCAAAAGTTGCTTCTCATATTTTTATTTTTATTTTTGTCTTTTAACATGGGATGCAGTGATACGGCTATGATTAAAACATGGCACACTTATTTTCCACTGGGATGGAACTCTCTTTTCTTCTGGATAGTAGAAAAACCTGACCTTAGTATGGTCAACAAACACAGCAATATCTCTCAGTATTTTTTTAACACCATATTATCAATGTTTTCCTGCCTCTGTTTATCCTCTTTGTCCCTCTAGGAGTTGGAGAAATGCGAGTCCAACCACATGATGATCCTGTTTCGGGACGGCGGCTGCCAGTTCCGGGCGCTCTACTCTTACTTCCCTGACACCGAAGAGATCCAGAAGCTAACGGGAACAGGACCCAAGAGCATCAGCAAGAAGATGATCGACAAGCTGTACAAGTACAGCTCGGACCGAAAGCAGTTCACCGTCATCCCTGCCAAGACTGTGTCAGTCAGCGTGGACGCCCTGACCATCCACAACCACCTGTGGCAGGCCAAGAGAGGCACAGTGCCAAAGAAAAGTGGGAAATAGCAGGAGGCCAGATTTAAACCCTCTTATCATCCACATCATTTCCCCCTCACCTTGCTTGTTTCATGAAAAGACTGCATTGATGCCCACAGACAAGCTCAACGCCATGCTCCAGTTTTGGACTGGTGGTCACCTGAAGGGATGACCAAGGTTACAAACAAGGGAAAAGGTATGTGTGTGTGTTTATGTGTGTGGTCTAAAGGGCCAGTGCTTGCAGCAAAAAGAGGGAATACTGGCTGAGCTCGAATTGCTTCTTCTTCCTGTGATCTCAGTGCGATATGTTCAGGTTGCTTTCAGTCGGGTTCACTTTCTTTTCTACGACCACAACTCAAGCATGTGGGCATTTTTTCCCCCTCTCATATGTGGTGGATGTTCATTTTTTACATGAAGTATTTATTGGTTCAGCACTGTCATGATCGAGAGCTCAGCTGCAGCACTAAACTCCTCCCCCCTTTAACGCCTCTCTGAATCAGACTAATTTGGACTAAAGGAGGGGGTCACCTAGCAGGGGGGGATTTCTGTCACTCTTTTCAGAACAATCTGAAAACAAGGGACCTTTGTACCTCCCTTTAGGACTGTCAAACTGCTCCGTGGTCCAGACAAACACAACAATCTTCTTCCTACGTGGATCGTCAAATCAGGCTGGCATTACCGAGTTTGCCTCTCCAGGGATCACTAAAGACCTGCTGCTCAGAACTGTCTTCTTCTTTCGTCATCGGGAGGCTCCTTACGTCTCCCATAGACATCCGTTGGCCTTTCACGCATCGTGGTACTATCATCTATTTATTCAACTGCTTTTTAAACGCTGACCGTGTAGCACTGGGTTTCTGTATAGCAATTCCTTTTTTTTTTTTTTTTATGTTAACGCTTATTTCAAATGATTTGATTTGTCGAGGCATCCTTTTTCTTAAGGATGCCAAAAGAGGGTCAATGATTTTTTTTTATGATTAAAGCAACGTGATAATAGAGATTGAGCTGATGTTATGTGTTTTCATCATAACGAGATTTCTCTGATGTTTAGAGCTTAGCTGTGTTTTCTCTCCACTGGGCACTCTAGAATTGTCCTGTATAAAGGTGCACTCATGAACACTTGTCGACTGCTTCTGTCATGCAATGTGAACCCTCTTTCCTCCTCTTTCCCCTCCTCTTCCTCCCTCCCTGAGTGTTTTGTCAGCCTGTCCTATCTTTAACCATGTGAGCAGCACACACACACACACACACACACACACACACACACACACACACACACACTCTTGTTGTGAAGAGTGTGTGTGTGCTGCTGCTGCTGCTGCTGTTGTGCAACCGGTCCAAATGACAGTATTTGATATATTCACAGAGGGGGTTTCTGTGTGTGGTTCAATCATGTTCCAACATTAAAGAACATTCCTCCAAGGTGTTGACAAACACTGCCACAGCGTCTCTCTCTTTCTCTCTGTCTTTTCAAAGTGCTTTTCTAAAACCATTTGTTGGCCTCGAGAACAACCAGAAGTGTTGCACGAGCACTTTACTTTCTGTTTGTTTGGGGGATTTTGACCTTTCTGAACGGGCATCTAAACTAATCAGTAACACTGCTGTTGTGCACTCTGTAAATTGTGGAAACTAAAACCAAACGCCAAGATTTCAAACTGACATGTAAAAGCCGAATGGCCTCCACAGATATGTTACTACGATATGATACTACTGCTGTCTCCAAAAACAAACAGAATACTTGATTTCTCATGTGCTGCATTTTGACTTGTTTCTGGGGTGGGGTTTGGTTCGTCAGATCTGTAATTGTATGTGCATTTATTTTTATGTTTACTAAAAGATTGTATCGGCATTTGGTCACCACTTTTGTTACACTAGTGTACTTTTCATCCTTGTTGATTTTTATCTTTGATCCCATGCCATCTATTTATTTTCAAAAGTGGAAGCACTGAAATGGAATAAATTTTCAAGTGAATAAAAGTCACATTTTTCATTTTTATTCTTTTCTCACAGCTTCATTTGTCCATTTGTTAAGAGTCACTGTTTGTTTTCTTTTGCTCCTGTAGTTTGAGACATAACACTGAATTTTATATCCACACAACTCACCAACATCAATCCAGTATTTTTAGTTGTTTTTCCACATTTCTTTTCCCCCCACAGAAAAACAGTGCTGCATCTTTTCATAGGAATGCTGACTTCACTTTTCATTTAGAACTAAAATGATTGAATCAACCTTCTCAAAGCATCAGTGTACATGACTTGTTTCATGATTTCAGTGATCCAACAGTCAAAACATCGTCAGGCCTCCCTGGGTGCTAACCTCTCACATTCTTATCACCCAACTGGAACAGCAGCCTGAGCGACTGAATGCTAACACTGATAACCATGGTAAACTCTGATCTGCCATGGTAACATTGTTTCTTTTTACACCTGCTAGTGCAGGTGATCACAAGACCCTCAAACTGTCCTTGCATGTGGAGTTCACTTGTTAAACCTGCATTCTGCAGCTATGGGATCGGTCACCATGAAGGGTAAGTGCCAGCATTACAGTGCCGAGCGAAAAATAAAATGTTGAGGTCAAATCTCACTTGACCTCTTTGTATCTCCACAGTTGCTGCTCTTGTTCTGTTGCTGAATGTGCATTTAGGCCAATGTTGTTTTGGAGAGGGACCGGTTTTATTCTGCCAGGACATTCCACCAGGTAAGGACTTAGTTGATGTAAGATTCTTTTCTTTCTTCTCATCTCACTCTGTAGAGGTGATTTAAAAAAAGTTACCTGAAAATCACTATACTGCATGATCATCAAACTTTAGAGTAGAATACAGTGTTGCTCTATGTGGCTTCATTTCAGACCTTTACGTTATATAGTAAGTGATGATGATTGTTGACACTGAAGAATACTTGAGAGCCAAACCTGTGGCTGATTACTAGAAATGAAGGGTGCAAAATAGTCTTGACCTATTTATTTTGTTACCTTGAGATTACGATGCTGGTTTTCCTGTGATAATGTGTTCATTTCAGTTTTCTCAAGATCTCGACTTCTTGTTATCTTGGCACAACTACGTTTATTTCCTCGTGATAATGGGCATAATATTCTAGCCATCTAGAAAACAAAACAAATACCTGAGCTCTGTGATAAGCCAGACCATGATATGCCATGCTGCCATTGCCCACACTAAGGAGGTTAGTTGAGCCATTTTTTTTCTGTTGTGTGCCTTCACAACTCTGAGGATACGAGATAAATAAAGATCTCGAGAAAACAACTGGAAATCACAACATATCAGAGGAAAACTTGAAAATAAATATTAGGGCTTTAGGATTCAGTGCCTTGCACCTCACCCATACTCTCGGTTTATTACTTCAATATTGTGTACTAATCTTTAAAATTTGCAATGGTGATGAAAAAACACAACCAAAGGTGCTTTTATGCTGCTGAAATGAGTTTTTACTTTTTTGATACTCAAGTGGCTCCATCGGCCTGTAGTTCATCATTCATCGCTCTTAAATGTGGTCTAAAGACTCAGTCTTGTGTTGTTACAATGTGCAACACTACCACCAGGTGGCAGCACATCCAGGAATTTGAATGTGTTCAGTTAGAACATTCAAATTCTGCTCTAGGTGTCACATACAAACGTATGTTTTTACAAAACCCGCTCCTATGATTCCCTCAAATCGGTTGACTTCTTTGATGTATTGCTAATTGTAATTCTAACTCTGCTCTTTTAGCTTTCTTACCCGGTTTTTCCACTCTGGTGATGTTGGTGAAGGACGTTGGCGAGATAACCTCCAATTTGTTACGCAGCGACGACCTCGCCTCTGTGACCAGGCTCAGGATGGAGGGCGCTGGTGTCTCAGGGATTGCTGAAGGGGCCTTTAGATCTATGCAGAACCTCACAGCGCTCTCTTTAAACCAGAACCTGCTGACTGATGTTAACACAAACTGGTTCAGTCATCCTGGTGTTCTCAGTGAGCTCAGTCTCACAGAAAACAAAATCAAGGTTTTGAGTCGCTCCATGTTTAACGGGCTCATTAACCTCAACACGCTCAGTCTGAACAAGAACAGGATCGGAGAAATCCATCTGAATACTTTTAGCTCCCAGAACAGCTTGGCTGAGTTGGACTTGTCTGACAACAACATGACTCAAATCTCACATCAGGTTTTCAGGTTTTTCTCGTCCACATGTAGAATAAGACTACATGGGAACCCCTGGAACTGTTCCTGTGAAGCTGAAGACTTTGTCGACTTCCTGAAAGGTTTGTCAAACTTGACCTGTCTAAGATTAAAGAAATCTGTTATCATCTGACACTTTGAGTGGCTCCTTTTACAGATCTTCAGAGCAAGCTTCTGCTTGACAAACCTTTGGAGGTGACCTGTGAGAGCCCTCCATCATTGATGGGTCAACGTGTGTGGAACGTGTCGGTTTGTGAGACATCACTTCCTTCAAGATCACCATCAGTGACGCAGAGTGTCGAACCCAAAACCAATGATGCCCGTCCAACATCCACTGGTACATCAGGTTGTTCTTTTCTAGTTTCTACTTGATCATGTAAATCCTTCAACTTCATCAAGATAATTTGTGCTTACTATCTCTGTTGTCACCTCCAGAAAAAACATTAACAAGGACTCTGTCAAGTACAACACCTGACATTAACACATCAGTCCACTCAACACCCGCTGATCCCCCCACAACGATCTCCTCACACCCTCTTACACATGGTAGTTTCTTCCGTCTCCAGTTTTTTGTTTGATATTTGAAATTATTTGCCGCTAGAATCTAACATTTGCTAAGTATCTTTGTTCTCTTTAGGAACATTTCCAGCACAAACAACATCAGAGACAAAACCCTCTAACCCACCAGGACCCACAGATATCCCCCCAAAAGTCACAACACTGACCGGTACATTTGCTTTATGTTTTTCATATTCCAATTTCTTTACTGATCGAATAGAAGGTTTACATGACATTTTAAGAGACAATGAATAAAAAACATAAAACATACATATCTCTAAAAGTGGGAATAGAGAATTAGCAAAAAGAAACCAAAAGATTTATTTTACATAGAAACAAGTCCAGTTTTTTTTTTTTTTTTAGGATAGCACCATCTTGTGGACATTCAGTCCTCACATGTGTCTGCCCTTACAAAAGTTAAACGGCTCTACACTTAAAATGTAATGCAAAACATAAATAAAGAAACCCACTACATTGTACTTAGAGTTTTTAAAGAATGAAGTGTAATGTAAGAGTTCAAGTAAGTTCATTACGGTAAAGTTAGTCTGTAAAATGTTGAATATTATTTTCTGTTCTATTTCATAGACATTCTGAATGATTGACTTCTCTTTTTCTCATAATTTTACTATCCCTTTCTATTTCGGTACTGGGGCTTTAATCTTCTTAAATGAAGCTTTTCTCATAAAGTTGAACTTGAAACATCAGTTTGATAAAACTATAAGATGTGATTATTAGAGCTTTTAGTCTTATCTCATGGCCTTCATCATCAGATAAGAGTTTGGTCTGAACGTCTGACTGAAAACAGTAAGCCACTCTAGAAACATTGATTACTGTTATCCTGCTTTTCTTAAATGACTCTTTTATACTGATTCTGGGATCTTTTCATTTGATTGGTCATCGTGTTCCTGAAAGCTTAGTACATTTTATAACTTTTATTACTAGAAGAAGAAAATTGACAAAAAAAAAAAATCAATGACTTTAAATTTCTGTTGTTTCTGCTGCCAACTCACATGACATCATCTTCATCAACAGACCATCCTAAACCCTCAGACGCACCCACACCTGCATCCCCATTGGGATTTTAGAACTCCTGAGAGAAAGAACATCATTGTTACTTTTTTGTGCCTCGTGTGTCTGTTGTTTCCTCTAGAAACTTGCACAACATCACGACCACCACCAGTTGCTAACATTGTCTGCACATCTGCGGTTGTGATAGGTATGTTAAGTTTTCTTCTGCATTTTAATGCTCGATTGGTTTGAATTGTATCGTCAGAGATTGTTTTAAAAATGACTTTATTCCTGTGCAGCGGTCCTGTCTTCCCTGCTGGTTGTGGTTTGTTTCCTGGTGGTGCTCCATCGAAGAAAATGCAGGAAAAAAACAGTGATGCCTGGGAAAGAAAGCGGGAACGAGGGGAGAGAAAACGGCAGCAGATTGAGTCAGTCGGTGGATCATGCTGAGAAAAGAGGAAACGCTGAAAACAATCAATTTGACACAGAGGCAGGATGTAAGAGATCCTTTACTGGAGTCAGAGCTAAGTCTGCTAATGCTGTTCTCTTTACGTCTCCTTTGTGTGGACCTGTGAAAGATCAGGTGACTTTACACTCCGAGACAAAAACTCAGGCCAAAGGCACAGAGCATCGCGGGGATGAAGCTGACATCGAAGAGGGGGTTAGGATGGAAGATTCAACAAACACCACTGAAGAAAATGCAGAGCAGGCTATAAATATTACAACTCTAGATGAAAACCCTCCATGTGTTTCTGTCAACACTGAACCTGTACCTTATCTGAGCATGGGTACAAACCAGAATGGAAACAATCCTGCAGATTTGAATAAACAGTCCACTGATAATCAAAATAAAAGCTCAAAGATGAGAAAAGTTTTGGGAAGGATTTCCACCTGGCCTCCAACTGCAGTTCAGTGGCAAGCTAGATGTAAACTGATAAAGGAGGAGACAGAAGGGTCTGATGTCCTCACTGTTTGGACTCCAAAGCTTCCAGGTGAGATTAAGACCAAATTAAATGATGAAGAACATTCCTCTTATTCTAAACAGGACAAAGGGGAAGATGTAATTGATGAATATCAGACAGATGAGCCCTTAAAAATGAATCTAACTCACATAACTTTGGGGAATTCTCAGTCCCCAAAACCAAATGAAAACAGCACTACTTTCACAAACCCAGAGGAGGATCAAAAAAAGGCTGAGGGGATCCAGGATTTAAACCCATCCAGGAAACCCAATCAGGACAAACGTGGTCAGAATCAGAACCGGACACCTGCAGAGGAGAACGCAAAAATGAGCAGAAGCAGCAACAAGGTAGATCAGAGAAACGATCCAAAGCGAGCTGCGGCGAGCAGACAGATGGCTCCCTCTGGTGGTGCCTCTCCAGATGATGACACGCTGCTGTCTGGAAACGAGTACGCCTTCATGGACCTCCTGCACGAAGTGGTGCAGAACAACGGCCGCCGGACCAGAGAGAGGTGGAGGCAGACACACGTCAACAAGCAGAGCATTAAAACACAAGTACGGAATGAATTTAAGTAGAGGAGGTTTAAAGCTATGTACACATGTTTAATCGTTTCATTCTGTCACTCTTTAAGTTACTTTAGATCATTTGTATTCTACCTGTTACACTTAAAATGATCTAAAAGAAAGTTATCCCTTAAATGAATTGGCATTTTAGGAGATACATTTAAACTTAAAGTTTATTCCTTAATCCTTGCTTGTCCAGAGTTAAACAAAGTAGATTACCACTGCTCTCATATGTTTCCTTTAAGGAACACACCGTGAGTGTTTCTCCTGTGATAGTCACAGGAGAAAATGGAAATGGTCCAAACAGTTTGAACAGAGGCTAAGATATCCTGTCTTTTAGTAACTTCTTTGGGGAAGAAAGCTCCAAAAACTTTGGTTCCTAAATTTTCCAAGAGACACCATGATTTCCTGTAGTAGATTCACTTCCTGCCTCTCAGAGCTGCATTCATCAGGTCTGTGTGCTGAGCTGTTTCTTGACATTGCAACACAAATACAAGATGCAGTTATTTAGTTGAGGCAAAGCAGATATGCTTTATTATTCCCTCAGTATATTTCTGGCTTCATTAAGCTGATAACCTGAGAAGAAACATGGCAGACATTAGACGATGGGAGCATTAAGGGTTCTTGTAAATCACAGAAGATAAATCATTTAATCTAACAGTGTTAGTCTTAACAGACGAAACCTTTCATGCAGCATTACTGAGATGATGTTGTCGCTACATGGGTTCTGTTTTTATAGTAGATGATTTTGAAAGCGTATTATATGACAGTGGCAACAATAATTCACAAAGCCCTAAGCGGACATGCATCCACACATTCAATTTACTCAGTTTCCCCTTGAAAACAAGTCGTATCTGGTTATTTATCAGAGATCTTGTTTTTCTCTTATACCCAGAGGTACAAAAGCACCAAAAAAAAAACAGAGAAGTTGTCTTATTTTTTTTTCCTAGATCACCAGAAATGAATCTGTTCGCAAGAGGAAAAAGATTTATGAGATAAATTAATCAGTTCCAATGCAAAGACTAGATGTTATATTTCAACAGAAGAAAAGTAGAGATCTCAAAAAAGCAACCGAAAATAACTCTTTATTATGGGAAGGGGATCAAACGTATGGATGCATGTCTGCATGAGGCTTTCTTTAAAGTTTATTTTTTGTTGCCTCTTTATTTTCTGTTTCTTTTGTTAAACTGTCTCTTTACATTTTTCTGTTTTTTTCTTCGCTTCCGTTGAGCGAAAAAGTGCAAGTACCTACTGTACTGTTATCGAGCGATAAAATCAATACTTAGCTATGGGTGATTAATAACATACAATACAATAGAATATATACTATGAGTCTACATGTGTTTCTAACTGATTGTCACTCTTTATCTAAACAATAAACAACAATCAATAAAAAGGTCTTTCATTCATTTTTCTCTGGCTGCATGCAGCATTTATTTGTTCATATTTTATGTCCAAGTACACTCGCTTCTCATTAGAAATAGTACAAAATGGATTAACCCCTTTTTGACATTGACTTAAAAACATAGTGGAGGTAAACATAATACGTCGGCTTTTGGTAACACCTAGACAACATGCATGTTCCATTCATATAAATACACAGTATCAAATAATGGCTCCAACTTGCAAGCAGTTGATAAATTATGGGTTTCTCTAGCTGTTGGACATCACACGTGACGTCCTGCTAAATGTCCAAAAAGAAAATCATCGTTCTTGGCAAGCTTGAATATCAAAACATGCTTTGTAAGGTTTACATGCCCTGTGTGGTTCTGTAATTATGGACAGGAGGAGATCAGTGGTGAACATTGTGGAGACATTAGATTTATCACAAGTGAGGACCGAGGACAACGAATGAGTGAATCTGAACGTCGATCTTATTGTCTGTCAATGATCTCTCACACTTTCACTCCTCAGCTCTCCTGCCCTGTAAACTGACATCTGAGGGGCCGCAGAGCAAAGAGAAAAACTACATCTTAGAGGGACAAACTCAAACATGAAAAGCTTAAACGGACTCCTCTGAAACAACCCAAACATAGCAGATCTCAGAGGAATCAATTCATTTGGAATACTGTGTCATTCACTTCTTATTCTTTGACTTTGGAAAATAACATTTACCAAAATAAGCTTTCAAACAACTACAATGTAAATCAACTCAATGCGCGACATGACTCTGCATGTTTGTCTTTGCGTCACATGAAAGGTTGAATACTGTCCACCGTGTTGCACAGATTCAGGTTAAAGGGTCTTGCTGTTCTGCTCGTGACATCCCCGCAGAGCTTAGTGCAAAAATAGTTCAAGTCCTCTTTCTTTTTTTTCTTAACACACAGAAGAGACAAAACAAAAGCAGCTGTACTACAACTCACAAAAATGTGCTGAACGTGGAGAATCACAATAAGCAGAAATCAAGGAAACATCACAAAAGTAAAGAAATATCAACGGTAGATCCTGCTGTGGGATGCAAACACTGCTAATGATATTTGAGTCAAGGTAAATGGATAATTTATCTGAAAGTACACTTTTGATGGATACGTTTAAATTATAGGTCAACAAATACGCCCATTTGATTTCTCGCCTGGAGAAGATTGAAACAATTCTCATCTCTTATCGGTCAAAAGTCTTAAACCCCATCGGCTGTAGTCCACCTCTGGAGACCATGTCCAACTTCTTCAACTTCTAAGACTAGTGTAGCGAGTGTTTAGTGCTAAATCCCCTCCAGTCAAAATGTAACCCTCACCCACCTCCAGCCTAACCCTGTTAACAGTCCAATTAGCTACTTGTGAAGCCATCATGTACTCAGATCAAAAGAGAAGCTGAATTCACCCCTTCAGAAATGTCTACAATGTAGATGTTAATTACAGCTCATGAGGAGGGCTTGTAAATAAATAATAAATAATAAGTTACACAGAGGCTTCACTCAGGCTTACTTCAACAAGTTTGCCGAAAGAGCGACATCTTGATTTAGATTTTTTTAAAGTTAAAAGGCAGTTTATCAAGTCGGCCCTCAAAATGAAGAACACTTTTAAAACGCCTGTTTGTTGAGTGGAGGTCGGATCAATCATTTACGATACATTCCAGGAAGTTGGGAAATCTAAGCTCTGATTGGCTTTGCTACTCAGCTTCAAACAGATTGTTTGCTTAGGCTGAACTTGGATAAAGAACGGACTGTTAGCTATACATGCATTCAAATATCTGTTTATAGAGATAAACACTCAGAGTACCGCTGATGAGATGTTATTATGGCAGATTGCTCTCCTTACCGACTGTTTTTTTTCCTGCATACAACAAAGCCAGAAGTCAGAAGACTAGAAAGGGTCAAGTCCATTTACCATTCACCATAAACGGTCTACACTATTCAGACCACAAATTTACTGCAAACAGAAACCAAACACTTCACATACTAGAGTCCAGACCCCGAAATACAGATTCTCCATTTTGACATCTGTAATCTGTAAATAGAGATAGGTCTTTCAGTTATTATACTACAGTCAGAGGACTGTTAGTGTAGCTTAGCTTAAACACTGGAGCAGAGAGAAACAGACAGCCTGGTTTGCCCAAGAATTCCTCAACCCTATAGCTTGTTTTATCCAAAGCTACAATATCCAATTTAGAGTTTTTGCAAAGAATCAACAAAATACAAAACAAAGCATAAGAGTAACATCTGTAAGACTTTGAGGTACAGCTAGCTGCTTTCCTGCTTCACATCGATCACATAGACCTAAGAGTGTTGACAAGCTTCTTCCCCAACACGCTTCAAAATAAAATCCACTTATAATAGTGAACATCTTAAAAAATACAATTTTACAAAATGTTAAATTAAAACAAAATATAGATATGTCTTTTAAAACATGAGCAACTTGAAATATAAATACACATTCAGAGAGAATGTTTTGTAAGCAAAGTGAAACGACCCAAGGACCACCAAAATCATTTGATCTTAATTGAGCCTTAATATTCTTCTACCTTGCTCAGCTTTTCTGACCAGAAGAGATCTCTCGTACTGCCCGTCTGATCTCTGAACATTAATCACTTGGGCTCATGTCCGCCAGGCTCTTTCAAGAAAAACACTGATTTCACAAAAGAGGAAAGCTTGGCACAAATGATTATAAAAAATATTTACAAAATAAAAGAATGGCACAGAGTGTAGCAGACATGATTTAGGACACTTAACACATCAAAATGATATAACAATATTCAACCTTTCACAACAATCACAAAACAAATCTGCATCCTAAACGAACCAAAACGAGAGAGAAATGCTAACGATTCTAATATGGCGCATAAAAGTGCCACTACAGTGTGTATATTCATAGGTAAAAAACGTTTGTGCTCATAAAGAAAATGAAATCTCGTCTGATTCAAAGAGAGACCAAAAAAACAGATACTTTGTAATAAAAGAAGAAAAGTGCAGATGAAAGTGTAATTGAATGATAACAATGCTTAAATTGATAGAAATACGTAGCCTTCACTCGTAGAAAACAGGAGGATGTGGAGGAGGGTTTATTTCCCCCTCATGATTCAGTTCTTGGTGAGTTTAGGTAGAAAGATGAGTAGTTGGGTTGGTTGTAGTCGTGGCAGGAGGGCAACTTCACCCCTGTGATGAATCATGATTTCATATCCTGTACAGTATGTGTGCAAAAATCCAAATACCCAAGAAGATACGGATGAAACGTTGTGAGGGTGTTGTGTGCTAGTACAGCGGGTGGGCTTGGGGAAGTCGGGGTGGTTAACTAGGCACTCTTCATGCATCCTCCTGTAGCAGCTCAGTGGGAAACAGCAGCTCTTTCTGTGGCCGTCTTCAAAACGTTGATTATTTCTGACTCTGAGGCTGAGAGACACATAATGCACATTCATGATGAACTGCTGACCTAAGCCTCCCATCTGTAGGACACAAACCAGCTATCTCACGCCCAGGCTGGGCTTGAACGTTAAGGGTCAGGGTGTGGAGGAGGGTCGAGGGGCTCTCAGAGGTGAGTCTCATCCCTCGTCTCCGTGCCAAAGTCCTGCTGGTTCCTTGTGCCGCGGGCCTGACCCACCTGGGAGTCCTCCGGCATGTGTGCCAGCGGATCGGAGCGGATTATGTACCTAAGAAGACCAAATCAACATCATCATCTGCTATCAAGGAAAAGTAACTGAGGCAAGGGTTTATTTCATATCTTTAAATCTTTGTGTGGACTTGATAGTCACCTTTTGTTTTTTTCTGAGCTCACAATATCAAAAGGTCTTAATGAGTGTAATCGCAGGGTGCGGTGCTTTTGTTGTAAGCAAAGCATTTCTTTGTCATGTTGCTCTTTATGCTGGAGCTTTAGTCCAGCATACTGCTTATTTACAGTCCACTGGACAGAAAAGTACAAGTATCTTACACAATGTCGTTGAGCTCCAGCATGGTGTCAGGAGGAGGGTTGATGAGGACGTAGGACAGCGTGTTCTGGTGGTCGTTCATCTCGTCTGGAGAAACAAACAGAGGTGATGTTCAGAGCTGCTCTGGAGTCCCCCCCCCCCTTCATGATACAGAACATCAGCCCTTAACATATGAACCCCTCTCGGTTTAATCCTGGACAATGGAAAAGTAATCCTTGAACAGTGTCAGAGCAAGTGCTCAGAAAAAAAAGGTTAAGGGGAAGCTCAGATGGACTGTTCAGTCAGGGGAAGCTTGTTACAGCTGCTATTTACAAGTTTTGAACACATTAATCATGTTTTAGTACGACTACTGCAAGATGTAAGCTTTTTGATTTTTGAAAGTGTCCAAATACATTTGACTTTGATCCTTTTTGTTTTCAAAGCAGGATATTTACAGCTGAGAAAAAATGTCATCAGTTAACGTTTTTAAATGGCCTCAATTTCTATTCAACTTATCCCCCAACATTTTATGGCACTTCAATCTTCATGCGTCAGTCTTTTCTATGTCTGTGTACATTTGATTTGTTACACATTACTTGAAGCATTTAATTATTAATTATTTTAAATTCCTAAACATTTCTCATTCAGCTTATAAAACAAATCCTAAATCAAACCAATGACTGAGCTCAATGTTTTCTTTTAATCATTACATTAATCAGTAAATTGTTTATCATACATAAAGTGAACAGGTGGAACTATTTGACTGCTATGACTATAATTGTTATGTAACCATGGAAACAGTTTTGTACTATGGTTGGCTTATATTTGATTGCACAATCAATAAGGGGAAACTGACTGTAACATTCATTGCCCGGATGAGTCATATAAGAGTGTGTGTGTGTTATTTATATCTGTATGTGTGTGTTCTGAGTGCTCTCTGGCGGCAGCTCCTACTTGCTTTGCGTGTTGGACAGAGGAAGGGAAAGGGTACACATGTGTCGCCATGACAACCCACCTGCTTGTGGCCCTTTATAAAGCCGGGCGGGGAGGGGGGGGAGAGAGAGAAGTGCTAACCGTTACTATCATGGCACTGAGAGGAACACGGGGAGGCCCATGCTGCTGGCCCATGCGCAGCTTCAGAACAGAGCTGACATGCAGACAGCGTCCGCGTCCATCCCCACTGCATTCCTGTTTTTCTCCTGCGCATTCAACACCGCACCAACAGGCTAACGTAAGGCGGCAGGTTGCCATGCCAACGGACAACACTTAGCTCCCCCATACAACCCACCCCGACCAACCCCCAGAGTGACATGTGACACACACCCCACAGAGACACAAAAGACATGCTCCAGCATCCGTCAGACTGGACCAAACGCAGAGAGCGACTCAAAACAAACGGAGTGAAGCAGAACACATTGTGAGTGTGAGAGTGGAAGAGGTTCACCTGCAGCTGCAGCAACATCTGGAAGTTTATTTGATGATACTGAAGAGTGGATCAAGTCCCTAGTATGTGGAGATAAATATGTTGAAATGATCTATGAGTCATGAAAAAGAGCGTGCCTATTTGTTTCCCTTCTAAACCCCACTGTAGCTGTTGGTCATAGTCTATCAAATATTGATTATTCCATGGCCATAGAACGCAATCATTTCAACTGATCTATCAGTTACTTTAAGTCCATTTTGAGTGCTTACGTCTACTTTTGTTAAAGGTTTATTGTAAGTACAATACAACACTTCACACTATAGATCTAAAACCTGCAGACAATGCAACACCGCCACTTGACCCCTATCCTCCGTGTCACTCACTGAAATTCAAACCGAAGGCAAAAAGCTCCCCAAACAGTAAAAGAATTTAGTCTAGACTTCACCCAGTCAAATAGTTACATTTAACTTCAACATTTACAGTTAATAAACAACTTCTTAAAACTGGATTTGACTCAAAATGAGTAACTCTAGAAAAGTAGGATTTGCAGATCCTCCATTAATACTTCATAATATACATGTAGTCTAGGATACATACAGTACATCTGTGTTGATATGAAGCCTGTTGTTAGCAACGATAAATGTGGTAAAAATAATCTGCAAACAAAACGTTCAACTAGACGTAAAAGCATTTTTATTTTCCTCCTAAAAACAAGATGTGTTGAGGGAAATAATCTCCAGAAGTATCCCTGGGGTGAAGTAGTCCTGAAGGGAAGTTTCTGCTAATTTGTTGCCCTAATGTTGGACTTTCACATCACTGCAGCTTGGTGAGACTGGAGCTGTGCTTCGAAAATGTTTCATCTGATTTAGGGTGCTGTGACAATTGAAGCTGAGTCTCATAGTCCTTATATGTGATAATCCACTGTGCTGGAGTCACAGAAATATAAAATGTTTTCTTTACTAATATTTGCAGAACACTCTTATTCAAAATATTGTAAACTGCAGGTAACTATATTTACAGTATTACTTGTGTCTAACTTGAAAAAGCACGCACTGAAGTTACAATTCAACTAATCTAATGAACTTTAAGAACTTCATTCTTCTGCTCTATGATTTTCTTACCTACAGTTGTAGCCATGGTATAAATGTGAAAATTGACTTTTGTGCTGGATTAGAGAAAAAAACAGACTAACAGGAAGAGGGAGAGAAAGTTGCTTTTCGTCCTCTTCTAATGTTCACACTTAAATCTAATGGTTCACATTTGATCTGTACATGTAGCCTTCCATCCACAGACATAATGCGTTCCGCTCCACTCTTAAAGCAAAACTCTGATGCCCTGCAGAACTCTAGCTGTTTGGGACGCCACCTCACGGGAACACAATGCAGAAAAGATACCAGACAGAGAGAGAGAGAGAGAGAGAGAGAGAGAGAGAGAGAGAGAGAGAGAGAAAGTTTGGAGCAAGAAAGTGAGAGATTGGCTGCTGATCTACTGCTTACTTTGCCATGACGCACACACACACACATACATACACACGCACACACACACACTCATGCGATAAAGTTGCAGTACTGTGATCAACCAGCTAACCTGCCGGCCTGGTCCCCTCTGTATACGGGTGCTCTGAAATGTCCTGCAACTCTAAGCAAGGGCATTCATTGTTAATCTTCAACGGCCTTAATTTGAATTTACAATACTATAAATTGTATATAAATGAAAACAATAAAACATCTTTGTAAAAAAAAAGAAGATACATCTAGATGATTTTCTGATATTAAAGGATGCTGGTGAAAGGACAAGTTCCTTTCTCCACATGATGGACGTAACCACTCACATGTTTGTAAAGGAATTATAAACAGCACATCAGTTACCTTGCAAATATCCTAGATTTACTCGATTCATGACATCGCTCGCAGTGAGATTAGAAACATCCTCTACAAAGCCGAAGGAGGGACAAGAGAGGAGTCAGAGAGAACAGGGAAGCACAAGAACAGAGGAAGAAAGGGGGGAGGAAACAAGAAAAAGAAAACAATCAGGCAGGCAGCAAACCATTTTGCAGATTCAAAAAGAACTTTAAAAAAAAAAAAAAAAAAAAAGGGTGAGAGCGATGCAGAGAAGCCATGCATTATGTGAGTGTGCACAGAATCACTTCCAAATGATTCATCTGTCACATGATAATGCTCCTGTCGCAGTAATCCTCACTGACATTCAGAGTTCATAAGAAGGTCTTGAGCTTTTGGGGTTCTTCCTGAAACGTATTCAATCGACATGTTACTTAATATTTATGCAAAACGCCACACATCTGGAGCATGATTCTGCTTCTGTTTTAAAGCGTGAAGCTGGGAGGAAACAGAGAAGTGAGGGGGGAAACAAAAAGAGCAGAAGAAGAATGCAGGCAATTGCAAAAAAAAAAAAGTTTTATACCAAATGCAGTTGAGACAAGGTTTGGGCTCCTGCATCTTCATGCATAATGTGCTCACATTCACAGTGTTGGATGATGATGATGATGATGACTATGTACCGATGTGTGTGTTAAATGACACACTGGTGACGAGATGCATGTGTGACACTAATGTGAGAAGAAGAGGTTTAATGGAGGGAAATGAGGATGCAGTGTGTTAATCATGATCTCTACCATCAAGAGCCACACTTCGGTGTCTTGATAGGTCATGAGGAGAGGTGAAATGAGTGAAGAAGCTGATTTTAGACTTTGAGGCAAAGCTTTTCTCACAGCAGAAATAATTTAAGTGGTTGAGATTTGTTAGTGCACAAGAATCACAGGAACTACACACATTTTTGTGTGTCTTTGTTTTTCTGCTAACAGCTACAGCGAGGCTATAATACGAGTAGTTTTGGTCTTTTTTTCCAGTCAAAATATTCAACCAGAGTAGCATCAACACGGCAAACTATCTTAACAGTGTTATGTAATAATGGGTTAAACCAAGCTACGTTACTTGATTCAACAGATGCTTTGGCTGCAAATCGCTTCTCAATAATTACTGCTAAATTGCAATTAAAGCTTTCTGCACAACACATCAGATGACCCAATTCTTTTTCTTATTATTATTATTATTATTACATCCCTATATTAGTAACTTAGTAAACAGACATTCACAGTTTCCTATGAGATCACGCCTCAAAGAATGAAATTGTTTTCTTTATTCATCAATTATTATAATCATATGTTTTTATATTTTGGCCTCAAAGAGTTGAAGTTGATATTTTGTACTTTATTTATTTTTTAAATATATTATTTTAAATATCTTTTCCAACTTCTTGCTTATCAAAACTTTAGCATTAACCGATTATAAGCTTGTTTTTTTTCCAACAAAGAATTGTTTCAACTGTCTTTGTCTTATTCATTCAGCTTTTACTACAAACTTTCTTCTTTAAGGACAGCTTAAAGAGCTGAGTATCTTTATGTGAACTGAAAGCCAAACCAACAGTACAAACCCCGAGCGGCACACTTAACGCTGGCAGCTACTGAGCTTTATTATCATTAACTGGAACAGGGTTATGATGAACCTTTTTATCGTAGCTCCTCTTACATTCCTCACATGGTTAGAAAGGATGTTGGCTGCATCAGCTGAGGTTAAACTCAACCTATTACATTATTTCTGCCTTGAGAGCTGCTGTGGGCTTCAGAAACAAATGTTCACAGATACTTCAATATGCAACAAACATTTTCATTTGCATGATCATTCGTTTTCTGGTGTATTATGACTCATTAATTAAATATCCCAAAAATCTTAAGAGAAATATGATTTAAATAGGTTTTAATAACCTCATATACTGCATCTAGTCTAGCTGTAAAGTTAGACTTCAACTTCCATACGTCTTCTTATACATTACAAATCTAATACACTGCTTCTCTCTTCTCTAGACATCGCACCGTCAGAGGCTTCGCTCACCGTATCCCACAGTCGGCAGGCCGAGGTGCTTCATGCGGTTCTTGACCAGCTCAGACAGCTCCTGCCGCTCCGAACGTCGGTACAGGTTGAGTCTCTGCTGCGAGATTCTCTCTGCTCTGCTCGACGGTTTGGCGCTCTTCCTGCTCAACCTCCGCGCCCACTGCATGCTCTTCTTCCTCAGCAACGGGTGCTCTGATTGGTCGCTCGTGGTGGAGTTTCTGTGAGAGGCTTTCTCCTTCCAGGTGTCTCTGCGCTCAGTGTGCTCTGCGCCCTGCTCCACATTTATGGACACCTGAGACTGTGAGAGCGGGACACAGTGTTAAAGCTGTGTCATGTTCATGTTATTGACTTGAACTTGTGACAACCAAGCAAACCCCTGTATTTCCACGAGCTTGTACTCTAAAGCTGTAATGATCGGGACATTGCCAGACAAAATGCCATTCAGGTATTTTTTAGTATTGAAACAAAAAACTGAATCATCCAAATGAAAAATAAGCGCATTTGGATCTTACCTGTGCAGAACTGTCCTTACCCTGAAAGAGGAGAAAGACAAACAGACATCCAAACAAAAGGAGATGCAATGAAAGATGGAGGCATTCAAAGCAAACTGTATCAGCCAAACTCAAAAGTCAGCAGATTAAATAGTAAATAGGATTGATTTACTATTTAATCAATCATTACTCAAATGTTAGGAAATTAACAGTAGCTAAAAATGTTACGTTTCTCTATTAGGAATGGTTACTTTATAACACCAATCACTAAAAGACCTGCTGAATCTTATTAAGAAGTATAAAGATATGTAGCTGATGACTCTGACTAATAGAAAGTGAAAGTAAATGGAGAGTTTTTGTCTTAGTATTCAGGAAAACAATGTTAATTTCCTTCAATTGCTTGACATAACACAAAAAAGCCAATAAATACAAAGAGGAGGAACAATTAAAAATAAAGACGATAAAAAACAAATTAACAAACAATAAAAAAAAATAAATGATGAATATAAGGGCTTAAGCATGACAAGCAGCCAGTTAGAAAAACAGAGAGTTGCATTGAGGAAATTTAGAGATTGGAATATAAGGAAGAAAGTAGAAATAGAGCAAAAAGTAGAATTGAAGAAAGGAGATACATGTAGGAGGAGAGATATGAAAAAAGAAGAAAAGCAAAGAGAGGAAGCATATCCTGAAAATAAAAGCAATAAAAGAAATACAAAACCAGGAAATGAAAAATAAAAGCAAGCCAAAGCCGAACCACAATCCAAAGCTGGAATCAAACCCAAACCGACCGCTCAGATATAAAGTATTTGATGAAGCTGAACTTGCCTCTGAGGTGGAGAACATGTGCGACTCGGTGCGATAGATACCGATGGGGATCTCAGCGCTGGAGGAGCAAAGCTTCTGGAAGAGTCTGCCGTACGTCCTGATCCACAGGTCCTCCTCTGTGATTTTCATCTGAGGACAGCGAAGGACTGAAGGTAAGACACTATCACACTCTACTGAATTTAAACTTAACAGTTGTTTGATTCACAGTAAAAACATAAATACTTACAGCACCCAGGTACCCAGAACCTGGCGTGGTGTCCAGACCCAGAAGAAGCCTTATGATAGCAATCATGTAGTCTTTAACAAAAGACTGTCGAAAACAAAGAGAAAAGCTGTGATTTAAAATGTTCAATTATCGTCAAAGAAATCCAAGCTGTACAGCAGGTTACAATTCACTTAGCAGACGCTTTTATCCAAAGCGATGAACATCAGAGAGGAAGTATAACACTAATCCATTCATACACCGCCACCAGAGCAGCGGGAGCAATGCAGGATTTGTTTTGCTTACTCTCAGTTAATGGCCTTTAAGCTACGGGCCGTGCTCATGTAGAATACGATACTAATAAGCAGCGAGTGTGCTACTAATTAGCATGCTAATAAGCAAGTTGCTAATTGTGAATATTGTGAAAACTAATGAAAATCATCATATAAGTAAGTGAATACTTTATAATTTCTTATTCCTCATATTTATTTAGTCTGTGAATATTTCCAGTGATAAAGACTGAGAGTTTTCTTTCTAGTTTTCAATCTATAACTCACTTCCAAGGGAAACATTTATGCAACTACATTTTCTTTAGGGCATCAAACCTGATTCTTGTAAAAAGAAAATAATATTACAAGAAAAACACTGACTTAACTGACATCTAAATACCCCCAAAATCTTTGTGCCGGTCCTTAATCTGCTTTGAGGAAACAAAGCTGCCCAAACTAAGATTGATGACAATCTGTCAATCAATTTTTACAAACTCCCAATCACTAGAAAAAAAACACTCAGCATTAAGAGCTTGTACACACTGTACCCTTTGCACTTGTTTTTACAGAGACCAAACTTAATAATCAATACAATGTATCTATGACATATATCTTTATGTTTCTTTATATATTTCATGATGATCCCCATGTTCAACCTGAAAGACAGTCTTTTTCAGCCAACCTGGTAAAGCAGTGTATCCAACATGCTGATACTGAACACCCTGCCTGCAGCGAACGGCAGCCGGAACATGAAGGCCAAGTTGGAGCCCTTATCACGCTCTATCTGCAGACAAAAACACAAACGGCAACAGAGCAACCAGTTATTAAAAACTCACTTTTCTCTTTTAGGTTTGCTGAACTTTTGCTTTTTAGATCCATTTCCAAGACAAGTGTGATAACAGGCTGGTTAGTTTTTGCACCTCTGACAACCTACAAGTTGTTTGAGAAACATTTTTTAGTCAACACTCGTCACTTTAAGACAGAAAAAACCCCCAGCAAACATCAACAGCTCACCTTCTCCAGTTTGGAGAGAGCGAGTGAGTAGCAGTCCTTGGCTCTGAACTGCATGAACCTCATATTGGACGGGTGTGTGAGCTCAGTGATGATGCTGAGACTGGGGAACAACCTGAGAGAGGAAAGAGAGAGATGAGACATTTTGTGCTGAGAGGCGAGAAAAGGCGTGGCAGTGATAAAAGCTTTACATTTCTTTTTGTGTACAATAAAATACAAGTTTCACAGATATGGAAGCTGCACTTTGTCTTTAAGATAAACTTATTGGACATGTTTCGATAAAAAACAAGCACGTCTGCTGCTGCTAGCTCTCTGCTCTGTGAGTAACCTGAACATGGTCTGGACGTTGACGATGGTCTTGGCGTCGGCCATGTAGTCCTCTTCAGCGCTCATGGTGCTCTCCTTGTCCACCACCACTAGGTTGTCAGCGTAGATTATTCCACACTGTAGCAGGTTGTCCAAGCTGGTCACAAAACAACAATTGTTACTTCAGGAAAAGTTAGAAAATGCAACAAAATAATAAATTGCAACACGTTAATTCAATTATTCTAAAACTCAGACATCTGCTACGACTTTGAGCAATGTTCAGCATGTCAAGCAGGAGATGACACCAGCTTAGTCTTATTATAACTATATAATATAAGTTATTTAGTGTGGCGTAAACAGTGGAGATTAATTGACCTTTACCACACAAAAAAAAAAACAAGATGAGGTCAACAAAACTTAATTGACAAATGTGACTGTTATGTTTCCATCTGAGCTGTTGAAGGCATGTGAGCGCTAAATGCAATATGTTTCCATATCAGAATCATATCAGAATATGTCACTTTCTTAAACGGCACTTTACTAATGATGTCAAGTTAAAGATTTTTTTATAAAAGTGAACAAAACTACACAATATTTCACATCACATTTAAGGAAAATTATTATAAATGTCTCCCTTATTTCACTACTACTTATTCTGACTCTTAAACATACAATATGTATATTCAGTTCTCAATCAATACTACAATAACAAACTATGACGTTGAGGCTGGCGGGGAATCATGGGAGTTCTCTCCGCTCCTCCCGACTGAATGTTTGAAGAGCTGCAAACGTTACAGGTAGGTCTATGAAGCAGATCTTCCGTCTTTGCTCTCAGACTCTGAGATCACTACTCATTTACTGTTGATGATGAAGTGAAATTAAAAAAATAATTAGCTTTTAAGTTGCGGTGTCTCTAAATCTAAAGTACAACACCAGTACAGTTATCTTTTATGTTGTGTTTCTTGTATAGTTTTCCTTTGATAGATTTTTTTGATAACCAACACACACACTTGAGATTATGTTGACGTCACTTCTTTTAATAATCAATACACATACTTGTCGATTGTTCCAGCCATGAAGTAAACCATTGGAAAGCAGCAAATGGCCTCTAAGAAGTGGTTGTCTGGCCTGCGGGGAAACATGAAACATCATTCATGAGAATCAAGAACTAATTATCTTTGGAAAAACACCACAGATTATGCAGGGATCATATTAAGTTTAATTAGGCAAGTAGAGAGAATACAATATTTTTATTACTCCTGTGTAACTGGAAGGTTTAATATGTTGCTAACTGAAACCTCTGATGGTTTCAGTTAGTTAGAGCTTTCTCGGCTCCCTGACCGTGTGGATTATCGGTTTCAGTAAACGCAGACGTTTGTCCAAAGTTAATGAAACCCAGAGTGAGTCAGAGCAGAAAAAAATGCAGATCACTGCAGCACAAACACACATACAGTATATTTACCCAAAGAAATAAAAAAGGCTCTCTTGTGCAGACATGATGCTAAAGTAATTAATTTCTTTCTTAAGAAGCAGAGACACCCATAGCTGTCATTATTTCTAATCTGAAAAAAAGGTTTGTTTGGTTGATTTAAAATTGCAAACAAATGCAGACTTAGTGATCAGTTTTTATTCCAAGCTCACTTGCGTGCACAATCAAATGCAACATGCAGTCAAACAGAGATGCCTACACATATGCAACAACCGCAGACGCAGACGTTTGTCCAAAGTTAATGAAACCCAGAGTGAGTTAGAGCAGAAAAAGGTCCAGTTCACTGCAGCTCAAACACTCATACAGTATATTTACCCTAACATATAAAAAAGGCTCTCTTGTGCAGATAGAAGTAGCTTTTATAGTTTATATTATATATTTTATTTAAGTATTGCTTTATAGCTTTACCTGCCTTTTGAGACCTGCCTGATGTATCGTTCTTGTTCCTTATATTTCTATGATTGTTGAAGACTTCTCTCTGTTTGGCCTTTTGTAAACATTTGTTTTTAAAGGTGGTATATAAATAACGTTATAACTATCATTATGAGTTTTTTAAGTCATGTGTCAGTTGTTTTACATTTTTTATAGAAGTAAGAACAAACACAAACAGCGAGTAGAAAGAATGGCGGGGTGTCTTACGGGTAGTCCAGCAGCAGCACTATGGGGTTGAGCTCCTTCCTGGGCCGATAGTAAGCACGCAGAGGGACAATGAAGTTGTACAGACCGTTTCCTGCAGTCTCTGCTGACACTATAATCAGCTTATTCTTGAAGCCATATGCCTTGGCATCCTCAAAGCTGTTATGAGTGCAGCCCTGGAGATGAATCAACAGGAGAACAGTCAGGTTGAAGTTTTGAGATGCATAAATCATCAGCTCTTTATTTCAAATATTGATAAAACAGCTGGTGATTTTTCAGCTTTGTTAAGTGGAATATTGTGATTGTATTTTTGCCTTTTCGTGCATGTGAAGTCACCTTGTCGAGGCGAAGGCAGCAGAACGGAGCTTTCTGTGGCAAGAGGTGGCACAGAGTTGGAGAGCTGCCGATGTAGGGCGAGTTGGGAGGGTAGCCCTTCACGAAACTGAAAGAAAAGACAGACAGAAAGCATCGGATGAAAAATAACTTAGTAATTAAATATTGTAAACTGTGACCGACATATTGTGCAGATAACAGCTCTGTATCAAGCATCAGTTAAACACAATCAGAATCAGAATCAGAAATACTTTATTAATCCCAAAGGGAAATTTGGTTGTTACAGTTTCTCTAAACACAATATAGCAGAAATATAGTTATATAAAATACAATGTTAATAAAATAGAATAGGAATGTATGTAAGATATCAAGAAATAAGTACAAGAAATATTTAAACGAATAAGAGTAAAATGAGAATTCAGCTTAGTACCAAGCGCATCTTAATATCAGTTTGTGCTGTACAAAAGCGCAGCGAGTGAGCACCATACAACTACATTTTCTAAAAGAACTGATCCAAACGAGATGTTTCCAAATCCACAAGAATGGTTTTAATCAGATATATTGTTTTTGCTTTATTCCTAGTGATGTCCAAATGTTTTAGTCGATATTTCTGTATCCCTCATTTAGCACGACTGGCTACCGAAATAACAATCATGTTTTTCTCTTTCTTATTAGATCCTGCAGCGCACAGATATACTGATGTTCCAAGACAGAAGCATTAATTCCTGCTCAAAAACATTCAATTCATCAATTACAATGTAGTTGTAATAACGATAATAAAAATAATCTATTCGTAAAGCACTTTTCAATGCAGGTAACAAAGTGCTTCACAACAGGCTTTTTGTTAAAAGAATGTCTTTAAACGAGGACAACGACTCTGCAAGTCTGATCTCCTCCGACACTATTTCAAAGACCTGTCCCCTTTAGTTTTCAGCCTGGACCTTGGACCAGCCCGTAGAGCTCTGCCAGAGGATCTCAGACTGCGTCCTCGTTCATAAGGGGTTGTTGTCTCCCTAGTTTTAATCATGTCTCATTTTGTTTAGAAGCAAGTGTTTCAATTTGTTGGTGTCCTCTGGCTGGCTGCAATTACCTTAACCCCTCACGAATAAAACAGAATCTCTTTCTTTGTTAATGGGTGCATTTATAACCTGACACCACATGGTGGCACTGTGGGACCTTAGGCTAATCTGTGATTTCTTCATATAAAGCGGTCACCTCCATCTAACCCAGTGTAACTGTGTCTGACAGCTACCCAGGTATCATGGGGGGCAGCAATAGAGTCTCAGAGGTTAGGAGGAACATGTTGTGTTTGGGTCTAACAGTTGCTGCAGAAAAAGACGTGCTGAGTTAGAGGCACAAGCTATGTTTCCCAGAGCTTCTCCATTTGATGTAAACATATACAAAGAGGATGAAAAGAAGAAGAAGGCAGCTGAGATAAGCTGATTCCTCTGACTACCTGAGCCGATTTAATGGCAGCTACCTGTCTAGGCCACTGAACTGATGGATTGGCTTTGAGGTGTGAGGAGCGTGTTCAGGACACACAACAGAAGCTTCACTCAGGAGGGAAAGTGCTGACCTTCCTGTTATGACACACACATCCATCACTGCCATTGCTGCTCCTTAAAGCACTATGACACACAGATTACACGCCTATTCTAAACCCATCCATCTCTCAACCACTGAGACATGACAAGGAGGAGTATTGGTGGTATCAATCAAGTATATGGTCCAGTTCGCCATGAGAACATTTCACATTTTAACTGCTGCAGGACCGACCTTAATGTACACGATAAAGCCAACAAATCTGTGTGGGTCAATCACTTGTCCAAGCTGCTTTTTTTTTTCTTGCAATTTAACCTTTGTGTCATTACTTACTCTGAGCCTACAGAGCCCTCCTCGTCTGATTGATTGGTCTCGTCTTCTGATTGGTCGCTGAGGAGGTCGCAGGGTAGAATGGCGGAGGAGTCTGCGATCTCCAGGACAGGTGCGATGCTCGGTCTGCGGCTTCCCGCTCCGTTCTCTGTAGGCAAGGTCAGTTTGCTGCTTTCCTCCGGCGGATCTGGGTTCTGGAGATCGATGGCTACAGTTCCTGAAAAATCATATTAGGATACTGTGTGAGATGCAGTTAGAAATAGCATGTGCAGCACTTTTATTATTACGTGTCCACAGGTCTAGAATCACGATACCATATTGAACTCGGGACTATTTTATCTCAGCAAACACTTTTGTCCTGGTGCACTTTTTCAAGTTGAATGTTTATTGATAAGGTCCATGTTTAGCTTGTTCAGCAACCGCCCCCTTTAGCTCAGCTTAGTGTGACCTTGAAAGAGAATGTATTACTTTCTGAATCATCCATCAGTGTAAGTGTACTCTCAAAGCTACCGCAACAAGGCAAGCAAGCTGTACTGACATCGTGTGAGTGTCAACAAAGATGTCCTTAACATACAACATGTTGTCTGTATGTAATGTAATGCATTATATACGCTCACACATATATCCGCATTATCAGAAATATGATATATGTATATTACATGTATCATCTTTTCTGCAAAAAATTGAATTTTTAGCTTATAAAAACAATAATCATCCCTACTGAATTAAATCAAGTGTTAGTCAAACATTCATGTACTATCATTGAGTCTTGTACAGAGTATGATACAGGATCAACTGGGAATATTGTACTCCATCAAATAAACTGATGAATTAGTGGAAAAAAAGGGACGCTTCATGCACAAACTTACCATATGACGTGGCCTGATCAACTTTTACAGGTCAAAGAAAAAGCACAACACAATAATGTCAGCCAAGAAAGCAAAATATGCATGTAAGAAAAAAAAAAAAAGAGTCATGCATTACAGTCAGCAGAAGCATATAGCATCAGCGAGGCAGCAGCCACCCTCAAGTGTGAGTGCAATGAAAAGTATATAAACTCCAATAAAAGAGAAACCACTTTCTCTTTTTTATGTGGATGTGTGATGTGGAGGCATTGTATAATAGGAAAGTGGTTTATGTAAATTTTTGGAGTCATTGCTACAGCCAAAATGTCTCCATGTCTTCATTTTAAGAAATGTCCTAATGAAGTGTTATGTATTCCATGCTAAGCTAAGGCATCTTCACATCATCTCTTTGTTCTTTGCTGTCACTGGCTCTCACTCTCACCCATGCTGGCGATGATGCTGTGCACTGGCAGCCTAGAGGGGGCGTCGTAGAGGCCGGTGACTGGCAGCCCCTTGTTGTGCTTCTCCTCTTGTTTGAAGATGAAGGCAGAGTTCTCCTCCTTGGTGATGTTGATGTAGTAGCATGTGTCGGCAGCAGCCATGATGTGTCGGGGGCCGGGGTTCAGCATGATGCTCTTGTTGTCTTCTCTCTTTACGCCGATCAAACACACACCATACCTGGGGACAGAAGCAGGTTCCAAAATGGGAATCAGCTCCACTGCTTTTGTTCAGAAGAGATGTTTCCAGATTAAGCAGGGAGGAGATCTACTTACTTCTTATGGGCATGAAAGGAGGCGTACGTGAAGCTCTTTCCATCGTACTCTCCAAAAAACTTGCTGTCACACAAGCGGATGTGGTAGACCTCGTTGCCAGAGCAGCGCCCATACGTTCTCTGCCACTGCTCTGGGGATAACTGTCCCTCCCTGAAACAAAAACATAAAAGGAGTAGTGTTTAGGTTTAAGTAATATCTAGTCTTGTTCTGTGTTTGATTTGACGGCTTTGGGCTACTATAGAAATATAATAACGCCCAGTCTACTGTATGAAACCCCAACCATTGTTATCCTCAGGTCATTTTAAATCACTTCAAAAAGACTTTATTTATAATGCATTCAAATATTTACATTACATTTTTTGTTAAACAATATATTTTGGGGCTTCTATGCCTTTATTTGAGAGGACACTGGATTGAGGAGGAAATTGGGGAGAATCTGAGGAATGACCATAGACTGTAAATAAGAGTGGACAAAATCTGAGTGACGTCACCCAGAGATTACTGCAGGGGGCTCTGGAGGCTCGCGATGGCGGTCGCCATGCTGGAAATCCTGTCTCAGCCTAACTTTCAGACAACCTAATGACAGGCGAAGAGCTGAAGCAGGTTTTAAGCCTCCTGAAAAACCGCTACACCGGGTCCACCCGTCAATCAGGTCAGCCTCCACCTAACTATGACTCCAACAAATGCGTTATAAAAAGTAGTACAGTGTGTGCCCAAGAGGACAATGACTAATCAGACCAATATCCTTTTTAATACCAGGCTGTAAACATGTTGATGTCTGTTGCAATACAGGCATTTTTTAATGGCTATTTTCAACGCGGAGGATGCCGCTTGAGAATGACATGCGGGAATAGAGCCTAAGTCGGACTTGAAATCAAGCCGCCCAGGGAGGCCTATAGTCTCCGCACATGGGGTGCCGCCTGTCTGCTAGGCTGGAAAATATATTGCTTGAATTTGTCTAAATTACTTAAAGGTCTTTTGATATCATATAAGAATGCAGTTTGAATTAAATTTGACATTATTTGCAACTCAGCAGCTCTAATTTCCCCACAGACTAATACATCTGTCAGACATTTCATGACCTTATATAAACTTTCACTCCCCAGCCTCCTGAATTCTGAACTCAAGAATAAAATTAAGCGAAAAGAAGAATAAAAAGAAGAAGAGGGGGAATTCAAAAGGCTATAGGGTCAGTTTATTGAGGCAGTTCCTGTACTCTACTACTTTTAATCAATATGATGATGATTAAATTAACACATGCCATAAAGACATCTATTCCCCTTTCCTGTCACCTTCATGCCCTGAGACAGTCCATATTCAAAATATGGAAATGTAATGGATGTGCTATTTTTCAGATGTGGAAAGTAGTGAAGGTAAATATAGTTCAATCTTACAGCGAATACAAAATCACAGGAGGATTCATAGCCAAACAAGAAGCAGGGTTGTTTACTGACTTTACGGTGATATGTTTGTGCTGTGGGGACGGTACAACAGTCAGCTCTGCAGATTAAAACAAATATAAACTCTGCAGCAGGAGTATATGTCATCTTTTATTATTCATCCATCTACTTGGATTGAAGCTGTCCACATGACTGCTGTTCACATTACCAAAACAGGGAAAGTGAGAAAGGTTTACATTTCACATAAAGAACATAGTTTGCTTTTCTGGAAGCAGAACTGTCACTGACTGATTTAAATCCACATGGGAAATGATCAGTGAAGTCAAAGTTAAAGGAGAAGAGGATATTACGCTCTACTTCTTCTGTTAAGATACAAATCAAGACAAACAGTGTTATCCAGTGTTACTAGCACCACAGTCCTTCAACGTTTTACTTGATAGCCCCGAAAAACATCAAAAGAAATGATCCAACGTTTTTCAAAATGTCCAATTTGGCCTTTTGACACCACTTTCACACCGGTTCAGTACGTTTGAATCTGGAGCCAAAATACTCTTAACAGAGAGAACAGGGAACACAGCATGGCGGTACAACAAACACTTTGTTCCTACTCGGCCTGAATGGTATGAGAAAAATATGTGATGTGTGATAATAACATTCTTCAATATTGGGATGTGCAATAACAGAAATCCAAAAAGCTTTACTTTCTTCACCAAAGTGGCAACAACCAATCTGTGGAGAGCTGATAGCTAGCGCAGACTGAATCAACGTTGTTTGAAAGCATGGCCATCATACTCAGGCCTCTATCCAACAGGTAAGATGTTAACGTGACAGACTAATCATTGCTTCTTTAAATTATATGTTTTGTTTGTCATTATTGTGATAAATTCTAGCTTTTGCAGTGTGTTTATTGAAAATGCTTACATGGTGATAATAATGAAATTGGTCATAATTGCGCAGAACTAGTTCCTATATCTGCTTCATGATTTTTAATATAGTTGTCAATCGGTTTAGTAGTTTAATCGAGATTAATCGCTGAATTTCAATAGTAAATCTTGTATAATTGCAATTTTAATCATATGTTTGAAATTAAATTATTTTGTATTTCAAAACATTTTGTTATGCTTTTATTTTGTAATTTGTACTGTCTTAATCTAAGGGTATCTTACTTCCTTATAAACCTGTGTTTATTTAGAAAGAAAACTAAGGAATTTCTGGCAGCTGAAAGGTTACGACATTTGACTTAACCATCGAAAAAGGAACTTGCTACAGATTGAAAAGTTATTGAAAATGGAATGGAACGGTAACAAAGTCAAAGGTTTATTGTCACAACGTGGATATTACTTTTCACTTCTTAACTGAGCTGACTGGGAGTTTTTTTGAAAGTGAAATGAGCCATTTAAAGGTGCAACAGTGTCATTCTTTTTCATTACTGCAGTGGTTTAACTACGGTGCACTGAGAGGGAAAACAAGCCTCGGATTAATGAGATAAAAACAATGTGCTAATTTTCTGACTTTAATCACATAACAATTAACACGTTTACGCTGAGAGCCCAACTTTTTTTAAATACAAAATTGAACACCTTTAAGAATATATTATATCACAATTATTGAACAACAAAATTCAAATGTATTGGTTTTTGTTAGCTTTTGGGGCAGTGGTTCTTTTAAGACATTACAGATTTCCACTGCCCCCCTACATTTTATTTTATATTTCCTATAAGGGATGTTTTTTTGTATTTATGTGTGAAAAACAAACACGTAAAAACTAAGCCTGCCACCCAGCGTTTGATGTTCTTCTTTGAACAGAAAAACTCTTTCCCCCTGTTTCACTACCTTTATATCTAATTCACAGTTATTAAAGTGCTATTGATTTATTCTTCCCAGCAAGAAAGTGAAGAACATAAGAACATTACCCAAGTTTTAAAACTCTTCCATGATACCATGCTCATATTTCAACCTGTCGTTGATCGGAGAAACACTTTATTTGATTTAATTAAATGCTTAAACATGTTAATACATCAAGTGCAAGAAAGGTCTGAAACCATACCAATAACCCATACAACTCTAAAGGACACACTGACTCTGGATCTTACTGTCAATCCATATATGCTTGAATGAATCCCAGTCATGGTAAAATATAAAATATAAGGGTGTACTCACTGTCCTCTGGAGGTGTGGACCAGGAGTGTGACTAAGGTAGACGTGGCCGGACACACACAGTTCAGCGCCAACATGGCATACTTGAACTCCTCTTCACATACGACATGATCTAATTGGAATGATAAATTGCATATATATAGTGAGTGTTAACACAAAGACAGTATAACTGCATTTCTCTATGTAGGTGTTCTTCTTGCACTTACCTGCAAATTTAACATGGAATTTATTTTCTGGTTTGAGAATTTGGACATAGAGAGGGCAGTTTGGAGCAAAGTCTTTCGCTGCCCAAGCCCTCAAAATAGTCTGGTGATCCTGTGGAAGAAGAGATTAATTTATTTTACTCAAGCACGGACTTCTTTGTAAATGCAATCAAAATGTTATGGACCATGAAGTTTGCCTCAGCCGCTCAATGGGCTTTCAATACTCAATAGCAATTTCAAGAGAGTCATGACCTAATGCAGATACCCCGGACTCTCTAATTTATTAAGGACGTAGAGTGTGAAGAGAAATTATTATCACTGAAAGAGAGTTTATTTTCACAGCTGCTTCGACAAATTTCTGTCGATGTGACTTACAGCAGCAGTGCGGTCGACCTCGTTCCTGCTGCTGAGGATGAAGCAGGCTTCAGCGTCGTCCATCCTTTGGATTGATGGAGAAATAGAATTAGAAAGAAATGAGAAAGAAACACAGACAGGATAAGAGGTTGATGACTGTGAAAAATAAATTAAATCAAACATAAAATTAACGAGGGGATGAGCGTTTATTTCCGGAGACAATGGCTGACAAAGTTAAAAAGCATGCTAGCATGAACAAAACATCTGCTGGACATTAAAGTGCGGTTCTGGCAACACTTGAGGCGCAGAGCTCTTTCATTCATGACAGGAAACTCACGTGTTCTGAACACTTGAAGAGAGCTAAAATATGAAATGGTTATAAAAAACTATTTTAGCACAGCACGGCTGAAGCATGTAAGAGGCTTTTACCTGAATTAATGAATTATTTTACACGTCAGTGCATGAAATTGTCATATTACCTGCACAACTTCACATAAACATGAAGAGGGGCTCTTTAATAAAAGGATTGCTCCCTGACTCATTTATGACTTTGATTTCACATCGTCATGTGCTGCAGAGATGTACTTACAAATACCCGTTTTATTGGTTTCACATCACAAGTTGACCAGAATGCAAAGCTGCAATATTTAGAAAAATGTTGGAGGACGAGCAAATTCAAATGTGATCAATCACATTTTCTATTACTGCCCATGTATGATACGAGCACATGATCAGTGTGCTGTAGAGTGACATCACATTACACTAATGTGCAAGCAGAGGGCAGCCAAGTAGACTCATAAGTATCTCATACTCTGTCTGCACTCCAAGGACTCAAGAATCTGCTAGTTGAGAACTTCAACTGTTCATTCCAAATTGAAGTAATGTCAGTTTTCATTTGGAACTTTTAATGGGATTCAGAAGTGTCGAAGCAGACTACATCTACCAGCTGTCTAGACAGGCGGCTATCATTTCATATAAATACATCTTTCAGTCACATCCTCACTGATACAACTAGCATAGAAGCTTAAATGCAATGTGAAAGCACCAACGTGCATACATTTTTCATTTTCTCTAGGCATTTGTGTTGGTTTAAATACAGCATGTTTCACTCACTTGGCCCTCATCAGGTCCTGGTCTTTGAGGGCAGACCCTTGAAGGTAGATGACCCTCTGGGACCAAAGAGGGATTTGGAGGATTCTGCGAACCTGAATGTCTATCTCTGTTGGACACAGGATCACCACATAGTAGTCCTGCAATATAAGTGATAAAAAATGATTTTTATTTCAATCATAGTAGCACCTTTGAAGCTATAATGTCACTAACAATTAACAACTCTTCTGGAAAAAAACAACTTCTTGTATTTTTCATGAATATCGTTTTTAAACTGCAATACTAAACAAACGACTTCCTGAAGAACTGAAACATACATTTAGATTTGAGCTGTCAGTATTAACTAGTTAATGGTGTTTAAGGTCTGAAATTAATGCAATGTTTTTTTTTAATTGCAATCAATCACATGTATTTAGTCCCTTTAGGCGCACCGTGGATAAGCCTCTGCAGTGTATCCCTGTAGTCACAGTGATGGAAAAGAACGACATCACTGCAAGTTCCTTTATTTGGTAGCCTTCAATCTACAAGAAGGTTCATATGTATGTATTTCAAAATAAAAGCAGGGTTGAATTCAAACTGCAAGTAATTGCTCTCATCTTAAAACGTAAACAATTTCAAAATAAAAGCCTTACAACTTTATTTTTAAATGTGGAAAATGCGATTAATCATGGTCTAGAAATTTAGGGGTTAATCACAATTTTTTAAATGCAATCGTTTGACAGCCCTAAAACAAAACAAAAAAAAGTATAAATAAGGAAATAGTATTCAGCCACTGTCATGCAGTTGATTGATACCTGTAGTCTGGGATGAGCGTAGAACTCGTTTAGGAAATCCATCAGCAGATCAATCTTGAGCGAGCTGACACACAAAACCACATGCTTCTCTGTCTGTGCCCGGTGGCGACTGTAGTTTCCTCCTAACTTTTGGCTCTCCATCCAAAGGTACGCAAGTTCTTCAAACTGACAGCAATGACAAACAACATCGTTGTGGTGTCAAGACAGCAAGAACGAAAAACCAAGACTGATTTGTTGTTTGGACACAGATGGTGAAAATCACTGGAGTGAAAACTGCTGATGCTCTAGTTTGCCTGCAGCAGGAGTTGATTTCTATTTCTCACCCAATTTGCTCTGCAGGGACAGTAAACACTATTTCAAGTGATGAACCTGTTTGTGGTCTTTTAAAATAAATTACACAGTAAATAGGTTCATTTATCACGCAGATCGTCTGAGCCAGAAAGACTCGGCCTGAATAGTGAGTGAGATTTTAAGACTTTTTCGACAGCCAAATATGTCAGACACGTAAGCACCGAATCAGATCTTTAATTGCTGTCAGTCTAAGATAGCTGCAAGAAAATGTCATATCATATCTGATGAACGTCAGATAGATTTTCAACATCAACAAAATTCTGATTATAACACAGGACACATTTTGGAAACAATCTCTCCTGTTTGATGGGGGGGAAAAAAACGAGTTAACCAGAATCACTACCTGCAGTGGGAGCACAACCAGAGCAACACAGATGAGAATGACCACCAGCAGCTGGGAAGGCCAAATTTGCGGCGTTACATCCCCGTAGCCCACAGTGGAGAAGGTGACGATGCAGAAATAAAACGAGTCAAACAGAGTCAGGTGCTTCCCGGCTCTCTCTAGATGCTGGATCCCACAGGCTCTGCAGAAAATGAAGCAATTATTAAGCGTCTTGAAGGTGCAAAGACATACCCCCTACAGGTCAGGCTAATTCAAATTAAACATGTAAAGTTATACTTCATTGTGTAATCTGTCTGAGTGTTATGGTTGAGCCTGGGGGGCTGGATATCAAGTCCAATTTGCCTGTGATCAAAGGGTACGAGAGTCAATACAGCTTAAGGTCCTGCTCTGTATGTCATGTAAGTGACACTATTGATTGCTCAGTTGGTTTCACCTCACCACTTGGGCTAATTCATTCTCATTGATAAGGCGGAGATTTAATGAAACCCAGAGGCACAGGGGAATGAGGTTGTCTATCTGGACAGATTGGAGTGAAGGATGTTTGGTGCTGGCCAAGGCACACAGAGGCTGACAAAGATCTAAAACCATAGAAGTGTCAGCTTTGATTGAAGTATATTTAAGAGGTATCAAGCATGGAGAAGGTAAATCACCTGCAAGGTTTTCCCCTCCATTTAACAATTTAAACTGTTGTATTTTATTTGCATTAAACCTCCCTTTTGTAGCCTATTTTAGCACATGGCCTGATATCCAACAGTTCAATAGCAAAATGTACATATGTTCCTGCTGGCCATTTTTATTTTAGCAAAAAGGTATAAACTCCACGAAGCAAGTGCCAGGATCTCGAGAGTATTATATGCACATTTCCAAATACTTTCATATTTACCTTTTTTTCTTTTTAGCAACTTAAGCTAAGTGGCTAAATAATATTAGCTAACCCATACACTTTACATTTTGTTATTTTTTCATAGTCTTTTACTTTTTTCTTCTTTAGTCAGATTTCAGTCTTTCAGAGAAACTGTGCACCTTTGGCAACCCTACTGTGCCGATATCAGATCACTGTGTCTGCTTCCAATAAATGTTGAATAACTTCTCTTCCACTTCAAAACATACATAGCTTCTTCCAACTATTCTGCCTCGTCCAGATCACATTGCCAACAGCGAGAGAGACACTGTATTACTAAGTGAACACTTTTGCATCTAAGGTCAGTACAAGCTTCTGATCCTCCATGGTCAGAGTTTCATTTCTGTGACTCACAGCAAGAAAAAGAAGTTCACTGACTCACCCCGTGAAAACCAGACACAGTAAGGTGCAAATGAGGATGAACACCTGGTTGAACATGGCAGAGTGGGTCCTCTGGATGGCTCGATGGAAATCATTCTGGAGGTAGGAAAAGAGATTTTAAGATCACAGTTGACTGATTGGCCTCTTTTAGGCGTATACTGTTTTTTTTTTCTCTGTATTCAAACGAGTGATCATGAATTGAAACAGGATTTTCAATTTGTACATATCATTTGTAAGTTCTCAGTAAAAATAGTGAGGACAAAGACATACAATAGGAATGCAAGAAAAGGCAGTAACAGTCCTTTTCTATAGATTTTCTTAAAACTATATAAAACATTTTCTCAGTATGAATGAGGAAAGTTTAGTACAGTCCTACACTGCTTTACTGCTGCGAATCGGCGGCACTCACGACTCATTTTTCACTTGCACCTTGTTAACATGTTCTCTCCTGTCACCGCCTCCCTCTGCTGCCTCTCCAAACTGTCACTGCTTTCTCTCCATGTGCTGGCCTGTTTGCTCTCAGATTCTACCATCTGCCCATCTACCGCCTTGGCATGAAGCTCTAACTCTGTCATGGTCTCTTCTAAATCACAGTGAGAGAACACACGTTACACTACCAGCTGGATATCATCTCATGTATTTTGTGAACCAGTCACTCTGCAGCCACAGTTAATCCTGGACAACACTCATACTACAACACCAGAACATCGAGCAGCAGGCCTTTTTATCCCTGCTTAGTTTCAATGTCGTTTTGTAGCACTTTGTCCTATTTTGTCTTGCCAGCATTTGCTACCTTTTTTTCTTTTGCCCTGGCTTGTCTCTGGGTTTTGCTTTTCTTTCAAAAATACTGTGTTTTCGGTTGCACCACGAGCTCCCAGGCACTGCAGCTAATGTGGAGATGAAGATTAACTGAAGGCATGGGAGCAAAAGCCAGTTTGCTGTATAGCTATCTCGACAAGAAACATACTAGTGTGGACTTAAAGTAAAGAGCCTGAGTTGTATTCATTATTTCAGTCAACTGTGTCATTTATCACATTTCATCTTCTCTCCTCGAGGCAACTAACTTCAGCAAAAGGTCGGCATAGCTCTAACAGCCAACTAATTAGCCAGGAGGCTAACAATGTTACTGAAACTAATGTGGCTAATAACACTGGCTGAAAAAAGCTTCTTTGCTAAAGTAATGAAATACGATTTGTTTGCAAAAAGTCAGCCAACCAGAAACAGTGAACTTAGAGTGTGTAATTGAATTCTGTTTGCACAGCTAATCTAAATCGACACATTATTATTAATGAGCTGAGGACCTCCAACATGGCCGCCACAGTTAAAAAAACGTGCCTGAAAAGCCTTCAAAAGAAAACAAAAAGAAGTGTTGTGTGTTGCTCTTCACTTCAATAGAGCTTTAGTTTGTATAGCAGAGTAGCTTTATGTGAATACTTACAATCATGTTCTCCAGGGCGCCTTTGGCTAGCCAGCAGTTTAGAAACACAGGGACGAAAATGTTTCTCAGTGGAGCCCAGAAGATCTTTAGGTAGAAGGGAAGGAAACATGAAAGACGTAAGATTGAAATACAAATTAGTTCATATACAATACATGCAATTAGAACTCATTATCTTCATTGCAGAGAAATAAAGGATAATCCCTTCTAGGGGAGTTTTGTCAGTTTGCAGTATTAGGGTGGTTCAGGTTCAGGTTCCTTTATTTGTACCTGTAGGTACATTTAGTTGGGTGGTGAAATGTTAAATCTGGTATTATGTTATTTTGGCATTGAGGCCTTCAATTAGATCATTGGATTCCTCAGAACAAACTTTGCCTGAAGCCTAAATGAGGATAGATTAAGTGATGAATTGATTAAGTGGATTACTCACTGTGATTATGAATGGCACTGTATTGATCATCTCCAATATGAAGGATATTTGGAAAATCTGCTCCCAAATGTTCCCCTTGAAAGGAAAGTGAAGCAAAAACAAATGAATGAATCTGTTCGAGGAAGTCAGCTGTGACAAGAAAACAAGACAGGAACACAGTATTGTTCATTCAGTTTCAGGTCCTTATTATGTTCTATTGGTCAAGAGTAGTAAACCCTTATTAAAAAAAAGAGGCTACTTTGATCTTATTCAAACAGGGCCGGAGCTGTCCAGTTGAAAAAAGACTCCATCCACCTGTTTCTGTTGCTTGTTTTTGCAGCCTTTTAATAATCCTTAGTTACCATCTAACAGTTTAAACAGAAAGATAATTAACAATACTACAACCATAACCCTTTGTTGTCTATCATCTCTTCATCATAGCTACACTTCCAATGAAGACTGCACTCTCTGCTGTTTTCTTTAGACATGTTAACTACAGTTTATTTAAAGCATTGCAATATTACAGGCTGAATTATATATTCAAATAAGGCCTTACAGGACATCTAAGCTTTTTTTATTTTAACAACCGAAAGTTTATCGTCGACAGGACAGGAGACACTTTGCCACTGGTAAAATACAGTGCAGTACAGTTCTGGAACAAAATATAGCATCGCAATTTAACACATTAAAAATATCATTGTAGCCAACTGCAATCTCAGTGAGTGATAAAGAGCGCAGCAAAGTTTACAAGGTGCAGCTCCGTGGACAATTCTGTTATAGAGATTTTTAAAACGCTTATCAATCATATGAAAAGTTTCTGGCACCAACACAATTTACAAGGGTACATGTCATTTGCTCCCCATACAATATTTGTAATACAAGTCCTTGGATACAGACCAAACTGGAAGAAAAAAAAAAATCAACAACAACAAAAAAAACAGCAAATAATTCAACTCAGCTCAAACTTAAGAAGGTCACCACAGGGAGTGAGGCTGAAATCTGCGCAGCAACCTATCAAAGAGACACTTAAAGTCCCATGGCAACAAAGCTAAAGGGGATAATTCCAAGCTAAGAAAAGCCTCCTTTGAGACTTGCGGTACTTGGACTCTGGAAAGATGTCAGCTTGATCTTTAGTAGCTGTGGGGGGTGTGGGTACGTTCAATATTCCTGAATGCCACCGGTGATCAAGTGTGAATTTTTGAATGAAAAGCACTCAGGTGAAAACTTAGATTGCTTTTCTTTAAACTCTTCATTACTAAGAAATAACAAGTACACAGAAAACAAACACCTTTGCATTATGTCATTAAGAAACTTAACTGCATTTTTGTAAAGTGTGAAATACCTAAAGGGTACTGTCACATCAGAGAGGTTTTGCGTGACTCTTTGTGTATTGGGTTGTGTTCTATCAGTTACACTGTGCGGTGCTTTTTAAATGTAGGTCGTCTAATCAAGATACCGTAAAATAATGTCCTTAAAGGGCAAAAATCTATCTGCATATTCCATCCCTGCAAACCTCTTTATGTAACTTGCTTCATTGGCAGAGTGTTTGATGTCTGAGTCTAAAATTGGCGGCTGAAGTCCTGGCCAGATAGATATTCGATTGTCACCTCGGCACTTAAACTGTCAACCAACACGAGAGAACAAACGAGATGTGCTAGAGTGTGATCAGACTGCTGTTAGACATCGGCATAAATTAAAGAGAGAATCTGTGCACCGTGGACCGGCTCCTCACCTTGTAGCTGAGATATGTGATAAGCATGGTCTCCAAGAAACTGATTAAGGCCACTGACACCTGGAGCAGAAGGGAGAGGGAGATTAATGAACCGAGAAACTGCAAACTCATCGCCTCTGGCTGCTAAACCTTCGCAGAGGAGCTCCTCTGCTCTGCAATGCTTTTATCTTATAAACTGCTCGGAGTGTGTTTTGGTTGAAACCTGCATTGAACTTCAGTCCATGCAGTTGGATTTGATTTATGCGCACTTTACTCTCACCTGGATCGCCCATACAGGAACCCGTCTGTGAACCCAGAAAATCAATTCCCTGTAAAAAAAAAAAAAAAAGAAAACCATGAGAAAGTTTCCTCTCACTCCAGTGCCTCTGCATGCAGTTGCAACCGATAAATTAACACACTACAGCTTCAAATTAGTCTTCGTTTTGACTGACCAAAACTTACCAGTTGATTTTTGATGAGTCTGTTGCATTACTCCAACTGTTGTTTCCACATATTGCACTATGTAGAAAAACAGTGACAAAATAGAGGAGTGTGAATGTTTTTTTTGAAAACATACCCAGCGGGAAAGATTTCCATCAGTTGGTTTTCTACCATTAAAAAGAAACTCAGCGTGTGTTTTCAGTCAAGTCACTGGCAGTGAGCATTATGAGGAAGATTTAACTTCCACAAGAATGCACAGAGGGAACAACTTAGCTGTGATATTTGTTGCTCATATGTCATCGTCAGCAAATAAAATTGCTTTTAAATAGATTGTAAAACTCCATCCCAAGACAATGTTTGCCAACAATGAATGTTAGTGACTTAGATGTTTGGAATACATTTAATACAAGTATTAGGACTAAATGAAATAAGATTCATCCACTGCTAAGATATCTTTTACATAACTGCTCTATGAACAGACCAATGAGGAAATATTCATGGAAAAAATTCCAAGTCATCTGGATGGTTTAAAATCAGTAGAAGAAGAAAAGTTAGACAATATAAGAAGTAATGAACTATTAAAGACAAGTGTTGCATAAAAAAAAAGTTTCTCAATATTCATATTTTACCTGAGGCCAGGATGTCAAATGAGTCTTTCATAGCAATGAAGATGTTCCACCACACATTATATAATAACAGGCAACTGTACAGACGACAAGGAATCTTAAATAGGGGATAAATGGTCATTGGGTTGGAACATTCAGAGTCCAACTCTCACCAGGGCTTGTAGTTGGGCTCCTCTGGGTCATCCAGGCTGACTCTCAGGATGTAGAGGGCACAGGTGAGAATCTTCAGTGAGAAGTTGAAGAGGCGGATTCTCAGGCCTGTGGAGCAACAAAGATTTATCACATGAATTGCCTGAAAAAGTCAGTTTTTTGAGGGGGTGTCAGTTGAAGTCTGTTTAGGTCTCTAATGATTTGGTAAGAAGACAATCTCTCTGATAATTATCTCACACCTTCAGGCACGTGTCTGCCATCCAAGGGTTTTAAGTTGGAATTCTTGTTTTGATGAGATTGAAGCTCTACTTTTCAGTGCATGGCTGTACCATCTGTCTCCAACTTTGTGTTGTCTTGCTGCTATGTTTGTCAGATCTCTCTTAAAATTGAGACCCGGTTTCTCAACGAGATTAGCTGTCTAAGAAAAGGATAAATAAAAATAAAAAAGTCCAACCCTGCAGTTAATAGACCCCTGCTGTGATCCAAATCTCCTGCTGACGATAGATGCAGACACATCTCAGATTTTTTTTAACACCAGCTGTTAAAGTTGCATTGCATTGTTAAAGGCCTAAAGAGGCTTTCCGTTTGTCAAAGCCCTGTGGCGTGTCTGATGCAGTTCCATGCTGCTCTGGCAAACTGTCACATCTGATTTCTTCTGACGCGTACATTTCAGATCCGCTAAGATTAACACAAAACAACACCCAGCACATTCATAGGCTCCTAACATGTAGAAGCACAATAAAATAAAAATAAAAACAGCAACATAAATGAGTGATGGGATTGCACAGAAAAAGCCAAGAGGGATACAAACATTTGTGGAATCAGGAATTACTGTTTGAATAGCTGAAAGCCAATGCTGATAAGCACACACACTAAAATATGCAGAACAGAAACTTGGCTGCAGACATGCTGGCTAGCCAGAGGGTGGTGCTGGTTGTAGTCCCTGTGTCCAATCAGACTTTGGAGCCACTAATCACTGGTGACACGACCTCATCAGATGAAGTCAGCATCGATGTTAAAATGATTTGAAGCTGGACAAGCAAATGGCACTGCGATGGAATAGAAGAGAAGAGCCCCTAAAGCCAAGGGGTGACATTTTCATTAGACTCTGTTGTTTTATGTCAAAGACTGTGTAGGCTCAGTGAACAATGAGAAGTTAAGGGAACGAAGGGAAGAGCCAATCTCAGTGCCGTGGATATATCACAAACATATTCTCGTATCAAAGACATCGAGTTCCCATGGTGTACATTTTTACAGATAGTTGCAAATGAAAGGCTTCCACACACATGAACCAAAACACTGAGCAGTACCGCGAGATATGTTTGCATTACCAGTCTCATCTCCTTTAGAGAAAAGCGCTGCAGCCCTGCCTTGTTTCTTGGCTAATGAGCCATACTCTTCAGTCGTTTGCTGGATCACCCATAAACAGATTTTCACAATGAGGCAGCAAATGTAATAATGAAACCCCATCTGAGACAAAAATTGGAAATGCATCATCACGGCCTGCAATTTCCTACAATATGCTTTTATATGTTCATTTAGCTTTGAGCACTTCTACTGTAGCAGCAAGCCTCTGACCGTTATGGGAACTGAGGAGAATGGTGTGATGTTCCCCGTCAGCTGTACTTACTTGACCTTTGGTTTTTGATAAAGAAAAGCTTCAGCCTCTCCTTGAAGGTGTTTTCATTGACGTAGAATTCCACCTGCACCCTGTGGGGAAAGGTGACAGATGTCAGTGAGATTGTAGAAAGGTGAGCATGCACATGGAACCGACTGCCAACACACACGCACACAGAGAACACAAGGAAAAAAAAATCTCTTAAATATTCTTAATAATCGGGTGTGAGACAAAGCAGTGGATTTGTATTGATACTATTTGTTAAAATGGGTCCAGTTACAGGAAAGGTAACAATAAGTAGAAGTGTTTTGTTGTTTAGGTCAATTCAAGCATGCAGTCAGGTTTGCATTCAAGCTTGATCTCAGTTAAACGTTTTGCATTTTACATTTGTGCATTTTAAACATGATGCATTATAATACCAAAGTTTTAGGAATGATAACATAGGGACATACAAAGATATACACAACTTTCTGCCAAAATGGCAAACTTTCAAAAAACCTTCAAGGCAATAAAAACAGAACAAACTGTTTTCTTTATTTAAAATGTGCAAAAACTTTTTAAAATTAAAACCCAAAGCCACAAGATATTTGGTAACACCTGGACATATTATTTATTTTCTTATTGTCATGATACCAAAAAGCAACAATTTGTTCCCGCTTTCAAGTATCTGTAATAGCCAAAGCCTGAGCCATAAGGGAAGCACAGACCTTCATTTGTTCCAAACACAGACAGGCTGCTTTGGGGCACACATTAAAAACATAGGTACTGCAGTGTATCAGAGTTTATCCCCCTGTACATGTGTAATACTGCCGATAATACTTACTACAACAACCAATCCACAGCTGACAATCCCAAACAAACAAGCAATTTTATTTTTGCTCATGTAGGCTTTGCTGAGAGCTGCCCTGCCCAGCTGTCTGAGGATTTTTTGTACCCTTCTGTGTGAGTTTTTCTTTTTTTTCTTATTTTAAGTTTTACACATTTTTCTGGCTTTGGACTCAGTGCAAGAGAGTCAAGTGAAGTCATGCAAGAATTGAATAGAATATAGCCACACATTTAAGAGGTTGGTCTTACTGACAGTAGCAAAAAAAAAAAACACATATAATCATCATTTCCTTTTTAACAATCAGCCTAGTAAGAACCATGACATATATTTTCTGGTCCAAATCTCTACTTCTAAGAAAGAAAAAAACAATACTACTACAAAGACAGTTTGAAAATAGATGCAAAGATACATTTTAGTGGCTCCACAAACAGTATTTAGGTGTCTGACATCCTGCTTTAGGGTGCAGAACAATCCCTTGAAATGAGACATTCTTGAAATGATAGAAGACTGCATATCCCAAAGTGTAAGCAATTTCAAGTCTTAGTTAAAAAACACTGTCTCTAGATTATTTTTAAAAAAAACAATTTTTTTGTAGCTGTTTGCAACTTAAAACTGCACTGATGTCTACATTTATTTCCGACAGAAACTACAATTGTCATTGGGTTTTATTCTAGTTTTAGTTTCTAACTGAAATCAAATTATCATTGCAGCACCTTCTGTGCCTCTGTTAAGCCCTTTGAATTGCCTCTCTGTTTGAAACGCACAGTAGAAATTGAGCCCTCTTGCCTCATGGTAATGTTAATCATGCCAGTGTTATAATTGTGTTTTTGTGAAGATTTCCCGGAAAAATGGGGAACAAAGCATGTTCTTAGTGCACAAATAGGACAGAGAAAAGCTTTATATATGCACGTCTCTATCTGTTCCGGTGAGCGTTGAATTATGCAGGTTATTCAATAAATGAAGACCTATTTTTCATACACTGAGATTTGTTTAATGGTGCACTTGCTGTGAAGCACATGCATACTGTAGAGATATGTCACATACTGAGTTTAAACTGAGGGAAGGGTTTTAATTGTTCGACTGAGACATAAATCCTAGGTGATCAATTTGTGCGTGAAACTAGCATCAAGGGGGCTTCATAATTTCTCTTCACTTATCATATGTTACATAAACATTTAGAAACAAACCACAGACTGTTGTTTTTAATTTGTGTGTCAATCACATTGGTTTGGACTATTCTCTTCACATAAAGAAATGAGAACGTGAGCGGACAGTCTGGTTTATATTAGGGACTAACACAAAGTGTGAATTAATAATTGATCACCTCCTGTTTTAAAACTACAGAACCTCAAATCAATGTTTCTCATGTTTTCTCATTTATGACGCAATTAACGAGAAATCTGACGGTAATCAAGGTTTGAGAGGAAATAATGGACAAATGGCTTTTGGGGGCGGGTGGGCCATGACCAAAAAAAACTTACTGTAAGCACGAGTGATGCTCCAATTAGGTGTTTAAGATGAGACATGCACATATTAACACCTTGTGTAATGTGGGGAGCTTGTTGTCACTAATGAGCATGGAGGGGGATAATGATGGTCTCATGGTTCTGGGGGGGGGGGGGGGGGGGGATCCTTAGAGCTTCTACTTTGTCTGACAAGATGATCAAGGGTGCAAAGCAAGAGAGGAGAAGAGAGCAAGAGGGTAATTTCAGCAGCGTATTCTTGAAAGAAGAATGTATGTGTAGGTAAAGAGTGTAGGTGGGAGAAAGAACATGAGCATATGCACCCCCCCCCCCCCCCCCCCCCCTGTTCTGGCTGTATTGCCATGGAGACAGCTTCTAAGGCAGGAAATGTTCCCTCACGTGTCTCTGTGTTGTGTTGTTTCCAGTACATGGAATTAGCTGCAGCCACACGCACAAGGACACATAATAAAATGCTCATCTATAGGCACCAACCATGTGACCACATAAACAGATTTTATTGGTTGATATATCACCCGAGAAGCAGTTAAGGTCTGTCATAAGGACTAAGAGTGGCGATCAACACTGCTTGTTGTTTTGACAGTCTTGACTGATGAAACATGGGCAACAGCTACGCAGGCTTCATGTTTACCCAGCTAGAGGAAAGGTAGCTGTGATCACATTTAATAGGACACACGGCACAGCAAAACCTGAAACGTGACTCCAAAAAAACTGAGTAATACAATTCTTATCTTATTTTTACATGACAATTGTTGTGGTTTTGGCTTGATAAAACAGGAAAAAGCCTACTGAGCATATAGTGTTTGTTTGTTTGTATTGACAGAATCAGAATCAGAATCAGAAATACTCGGTCGTTACAGTTGCTCCTAAATATACAATATAGCAGTAGAAAGGCAGGCATGACAACCACATGAGGTGAAGTTTTCCTTGCTCATCTGACTTCTTCAGTGCGAGACATCTTCAGTGTCTGCCTTAAAGTATCCCCCGTTCTGTTGGCTCTGTACAGCATCACATTTATTTAAAAAAAAAAGAAAACAACTATGAAAGAAAAGCTGACTTTAAGCTCAGTTTGAGGTGTTTTCAAATTCATACTGGTTGATCCATATATGCAATTTTAGCAACACTATTAGCATGTCTCTAGGAGTTGTGATGGCCGCATTGTTGCCACTTCAGTAACTTGATTTTGCAACTTGTAAACGCCTGAGTTGTCATTAAGAGCCTATAAGACAGTTGCTCGTGTTTTTATAATTTTATCAGATTATTTAAATTGTATTCTTTCCCAAAATAAACATAACATACAATATACAGTTTATTTCTATATCTGAATCTGCTCTTTCTATGAGACTTTATTGCAAGAGTATTTACATGCAGCTTTTTTGTTAGCATGCGGATGTGAGCATTCAGTTCAAATCACTGCTGAGTCTACAGCCTCACTGAGCTGCTAGCATGGATGTAGATCTTACATACAGTCTCGGAAACAGATGGGATAGCTTAAATGTTATAATTTAATCATCAATATGAATCAATTATATATATATATATTTGTCTATTTTTACTGTCCTAAAATTGGTGAAGCATTACATATAAAGATATCACTTGACCCAATCTGTCCATTAAAATTTTCCAACAAAGCTATAAATGTGCAGTATAGTTAAGATGAGTAAAGAGCCCCTAATGATACAAACATTGAGGTCTTACTGCTACATGTAGGTGAGAGCTCAAGTGCTACCTGGCATGTTCAAAACACAAACATCACTATTTAATTAAAATTCATTTAACAAATATACACTGTTACACAAATAGGGACAAATATTCTCAATGTCTGATACTGCACATTAATATATCTTAAGTTCCTTAAGTAACTCAGACAAAGGTCACAAAAAGCACTTCTCCCACATCTAACAGCTGCTACCTATAGACTCACTGCAATCCCTTTTAGGTACTTACCCTCGTTTCCTCAGGAACTCAGTCAATTGAAAACCAACCCAAATTTAAACACAAGCTGTTTGATTATCACAGAAACATCTTCAGCAGGTTGGTATCTCTGAACCCTGGAAAGAGCCCCTAAAGTTCAGAGATAGTCAGTCAGGCATGAGCCAGGAATGTTTGCACATGGACACAGTAGATACAGCAGGACTGGATGTCCTCTACTAACAAGTGGTATGTTGAGCCTTTATAGCAGACCTTCAGAATGTGTGACAGAGAGTCAATGACAAGTTCATGATCATAAGACAGTAATGACGGGCAAAAAGAGAGGGACATGGGAGGGATTAAGTCCTAACCAGTGCTAACACACACACACAAACAAACACCATGAGCATTTCCAGTTATTGGATTACAATTCCATGCACCTTGCTTGAAACAAACAGATTGCTCTGTGAATAAACCTCAAACAGCTTATTGACCTCAGGATAATATGTTGGACAGAACTAAGCTGTTCAAACGGCTGTTTCGATTCTTGTGCTGGAATATATATATATATATATATATATATATATATATATATATATGTATATATATATATATGTGTATATATATATATATATATATATATATATATATATATATATATATATATATATATATATATATGTATATATATGTATATATATGTATGTATATGTATATATGCCAGATGTTGTGAACCATATGGAATATTGTCAGAATTCTTTAAATGGCAGACATTGCATAAATTGATAGTGGGAATTTCAAAAGGAAATTAGAACATTATGCCAATCAGAGATAATACAATGGTGCTCATGCATGCAGCAATCATTTCCTGAAG